AGACAGCTGTCCTGGAGCTCACTATGCAAACCAGGCTGGCCTCCATCTCACAGAGATCTACCTGCTTCTGCCTTCTAAGTGCGGTGATTAAAGGTGTACACCATCATGCCCAGCTTGTTTGCTTATTTTTGAAACTTGGGCTGACTCTGTAGCCTAGGCTGTTTTCTAACTCATGATTCTCCTGCCTCAATCTCCCAGCAAGAGAAAAAGAATGAAGGATTTCACTATGTCTGCACAAAGCACTGATGTTTCCTCCACAGGTGCCTGTTCTGGGCTGGGCAGTAGCTTCTCAGCGGACATTTAAGGATGCTGCTCCCCTATCTTCTGGTTTGTATTGTTTTTGATAAGTATGCTCCCAATCGCCCCTCATGTCTCTCTAATGGATATGTCTTTCTTCCTTCTTTAAAGTTTTCTTTTTTCCCCGTTTTAAGGTAAATTGATGATGGTGGGCTTGGAATTGATTTTTAATGCTCAGATTGTGGTTTTTGTACTTTTGGGATCTCTGGGTTTATACTTTTCACTTAATTAAAAAAAATTTAGGGAAGGCAAAGGCAGGTGGATCTCTGTGAGTTCGAGGCCAGCCTGGTCTACATAGTGAGTTCCAGGTCAGCTGAGGCTACAGGGGGACCCTGTCTCAAAAAGACCAAAAAGAAAGAAAAAAAAAAAAACGTAGGGAACATCTGTTCTGATTTTCTTTCTGTCCTTACCTCTTTCAAGGAGTCCAGTTAGACTTAAAATTTTCCTCTTTCAAGGAGTCCAGTTAGACTTAGAATTTTCCTCCTGTTGACTCACTGATGTTCTGTTATCTTTTCTACCACTTTTCTCTGGGTCTTTCGTTTTTGATAGTTTTTTAAAAAATTCTATTATTTATTTATTTATTTATTTATTTATTTATTTATTTATTTATTTAATATTTTGGTCTTTTTGAGAAAGGGTCTCCCCATAGCCCCAGCTGGCCTAGAACTTACTATGTAAACCAGGCTAGCCTCGAACTCATAGAGATCTGCCTGTTTCTGCCTCCCATGTTCTGGGATCAAAGACATGTGCTACCATGCCTGCCTATTTATTTTTAAATTTTATGTGTATGAATGTATTGCCTGCATGTATGTAAGCACACCTGTGTCATGCAATGCCTGCAGAGGTCAGAAGAGGTGTTGGATACTCTGGAACCGGGATGGTTGTTAGCTGCCATGTGGGTGCTGGGAATCATTGTAAGAGTAACTGCTGAGCCATCTCTCCAGTCCTGCTTCTGCTTCTTTGCGACAGGGTCTTACTCTGTAGCCCAGGCTGGCCAGGAACTTTTGATCCTTCTGCCTCAGGCTCCCAAGTGCTAGGGTTGAACACAGACATGGCTGCCATACCCCTGAATTCTCAAAATTTCAAACAGAGCCTGTACCCATCCTGCATATTTCCTGATGGTAAAAGCAAGACTGTATCAAATTATTATTGTATATCAATTGAGCCTATCATGTATATGCTTCCTTCTACTAACATGGTGTAGAATAGCAAATGCTTTTATGGCAAGCCATTTTTTGCACCCTGGAAATAAACACCATGTTTATAATTGTTTTACTTTGCTGCTCATTCTGTTTGTAGTATTTTGTTAAGGATTTATTCATTCATAAATTTTTAAAGGTCAATTCCCTGTAGTTCTTTTTCTGGTAGTACCATTTTCTGACTTTGAGTCAGGGTGAGAGTGGTCTCATGGGGCAAATTCAGCAGTGTTCTCTTTTCTTCAGCTGTTCAGAAGACTTTGTGGTGGGTTGCTGCTAATTCTTCCTTACATATGTAGCTAGTTACCAATCCAGCTATGCGATGCCTTAATCATTGTCGGTTTAGATGATAGATTCCATCTTCTCAATGGGTATATTTTAAATCAGATTTTCTATTTTTTCTTGATTCAGTTTCATTAGATTGTATATTTTCTGGAATTGTGTCCACTACATGTAGGTTATCCAATTTGCTATTGTGTTCTCTTCTAATCCATTCTGTTTCTGTAAAATTGGTAGAAATATCTCTACTTTCATTTCTGGGGAGGGTGCTACATCCAGCACAGCTGGCTGTTGGTGGATACAGAAGAGGGACAGTGTGTGTATTAGCCAGGGTTCTCCAAAGAAACAGAATCAGTAGAATGAATATATATGTATAGAGATTTATCAGTTTATCTCACAGGATAGAGTCCTAGTAGTCCAACAATGGCTGCACCACACTGGAGAGGCTGAGAATCCGTAGTCACTCAGTCCACGAGGCTGGATGTCTCAGTAGTCCCAATCTGGCACTGAAAGTCTGACAAATTCCAAAAGATCAGCTAGTCTTCAGTCTACAGCAGCAAGACGAACTCATCAGTGAGAGAGAAGGCAAGCAGCAAGATGCCTGGGGTTCTCCTCTGCTGTAGCCTTTTATAGGGGCTGCCATCAGAAGGTAACACATTTAGGGCGTGTCTTCCAGTTTCAGATAATCCAATTAAGAAGATCTCTCTCAGTTCAGTTAATCCCAGATCCAGTCAAGTTGACACCCAGGATTAGCCATCACAGCGTGGTATAAAATATTACAAATATTTCTTTAACATTAAAGAAAGCTGGGAGCTGGGTATCGTGGTTCAGGCCTTTAGTCCCAGCACTCAGGAGGCAGAGGCAGGGCAATCTCTGTGAGTGAGCTTCAAAGCCAGCCTGGTCTACATAGCCAGTTCCATGCCAGCTGGGGTTACAGGGAGACCCTGTTTCAAAAAAAAAAAAGAAAAAAAAAAAAAAAAAAAAAAAAAAAAAAAAAAGAAAGGAAGAAAGAAAGCTAGGAACCGGGAGAATCTCTGTTCTGCAGAACTAAAAGGCCCCAAGTTTCTAACTCTCAAAAGTTTTTATAGCATGGCTGAGGTGTTCTAAGCAGGCATTCATGAACTAAAGGTTCAAAGGACATTTCTCTGCATGGGGCTCAGGAAACTAAACCTTTTAATATATTTTAATATATTTT